TCCCTCCCTCTTCCGATGACACCTTTTGCTCTCTCGTTCCTGGTTAGAGGAACGAGATGGTGTGTTGTGTTTGATGGTGGTGATGGATGGATTGCTGTGCTGCTCTCCTCCTCCTTGACATGCAGCATTTGTAAAATGTCCCTTCGAGTCACTTTCTCTCTCACACACACTGTGTTGTGTGGTTGTGTGTGCATGGTAAGTGTGTGTGTTCACTTTGACAGAAATGCTCATGGTTTTGGGGGGGGGCAATGTGATCGCATACATGCACGAGTGCATCTTGCTGAGAGAGATGTCTGTTTGAATGATTGCTCGACAGTTCTTTTAAGGGACCTATGAAACTCGAGTGTGACATTCAGCAGATTTTGGCTGTGTCCGAAAGCTGAAAAAAAGCATTGTAGTCACTAAACATTTGCTTTATCTCCTAAAGTCCTCTTGAATTTGTTTTAGATTATTAGACATTAGGGCATCCTGGTGGAAGAAAACATTTTTAAAGGAAATTTTAAGATTTCACTGGGTGGAAAGACCAACATGTGAATGAAATTTCTAAAAAGTGCATGATACACTCACTTAAGATGGTTACATTGTTTAATTCGGTAAGAAGACATGCACACAAACTATGATGGAAAATGAATAAATTACAAGATTTGCTTCAGAGAAGTGCCTGAATTGACAAGTGCAAGTCATGCGACTGAATCATTTCATTTTTTTTATTGCGCCAATTTCCCTGAAAGAGATGGAATTGCTGCTTTTTTCGCAAATTGTTTTTGAAATATTCAGATTTTTTGCAACTTGACATTGATGTTTATTTATTTGTGCTTATTTATTTGTTGTTATGAACATTACAGAATCTAACTGATTGACAAATTTAATGAGTGCAAATGTTTCACTGAAAATGAAATCTTATACTACCGTTCAGAAGTTTGGGTCAGATATCAGATATTAGTTCTTTTATTCAGCAAGGTTGCATTAAATTGATCAAAATTGACAGTAAACACATTTATAGAGTTACAAAAATTATATTTCAAATAAATTCTGTTCGTTTATACTTTCGATTCATCAAAGCATCAAAGAATCCTAAATAAAAAGGTATTACTATTTACAATGTTTTCAATGTTGATGGCAGCAAATCAGCATATTAGAATGATACTGATATTAGAGTGACACTGAATACTGGAGTAATGGTTGTTGAAAATTCAGCTTTGTCATCACAAGAATACATTACATTTGAAAATATATTTAAATAGAAAACAGTTATTTTAAATTATAATAATATTTCTGTCATGACAACTCTCAGAGGGATTGGCATGGTAATGTACATGACAATGTTAATGTATTTACAGACCGCAAGTACCGAGACTTACTACTGCCAAAACATCCACAACATGCTGCTGTGAGCATGTAAGAAATATTGCTGCTGCAAATAAAACATGAAATAACCCCCCACAAAGCAGGGGACATAGAAGGGACAATACAAGCCCCCCCCCCAGCAAGCAGATCTATCGCCAAGACATATGTACTGCGGCTGCTCCGAAGAGCCATGTGAACCACATGTATTACTATCTATGTGTGCCTGGGCTACCACGCCGACCGGCTTAACACTAGTGGCCTATGACTATGTGAGCCTTGGCTACCACGCCGACCATTTTACCATTGCTCTGATGTCTATATTTATTAAACGAGGAAGAGAAGAGTGAGAAAAAATGCACTTAATTCATTATTTCTGAAAGTTGTCAAGTTACAGTGCACAAAAACCCCTGGGTGGACTGACCTGATGAACTGAAATAAAAGCAGAATATAAATGTTCTTTCTCCATTTTCTGAATTACACAGCACAGCGAGAGCACGCCACACGAGCACATTTCTCCGAACTACACTACCCATAAAGGTAGTGAACTAACTGTTACCGCTGTAGATAGTGACCTTCAGCGTCTCCCGCAACACTGTCATTGATATGACTGCGATAAGCGTGTGCTTCTGACGCTGCGTGCAGCTGAAATCAACCACACACTCATCACAATGAAAACATCGACCTTAGAAATAACGAATGTGAACACTGGGATGTAATCACGGATGTATATGGCGAACCCCCATTGAAATGCATACACAAGAATGTTTATTTCATTTAACCTGTTTCATGTCTGTATTTTCATCCCGGCCTAAATAAGAAACAGTCTTATTTAGTGCTGGCAGTTATATAGGTGGTTTCTGTGGTGTTTTGGTGTGTCTTGTCTTGTGTTAAGAGTTGAACTCACGTCATAACGAGTTTAGAAGCAAAACCATCTCTGATCTTTCATCAAAACATCATCTGGCTGAGATACTGTGTGACAGGTTTAGTGATGCTTTTGGTCAACTGACATCTTGACCTCTAAGGTGATCTGCTGTGAGCTTGCAGGCACACGCTCCACTGCGCTTCAGGGTTAAATTGGCAGAGAAAATGGAGCAGACAGAGAAAGGAGGCGTGTCAGGGGGTGGAACCCCTCTGCGCCATGGCATCGGTTGCTATGCAACTGAGTTCTGAGGCTATTTATACTCCCTGTGCTGCCCCTCCCACTGACTTCAAAAAAAAAAAAAATGTAGACAGCATAGCAGCAGATTTGGGGGGAAATTAGATTTCGATTCAACTCCGTCTGTCTGCACACAGCCAAAACACTGCAGCCAATCCAAGGATGAAGGAGACAAAGACTATAAAAATAATTTCAGTACAGAAAACTATAAATTAAAAAACACTAGTCACAAATATCATCACTATTACTAATGAGTGGTCAAATCAGCAACTCAGTGCTGGCAGCCACAAGGTGTTGAGAAGGACGGTTAGGACACACGCACAGTTGCACACCTTGGCCACATTCACACTGCAGCTGAATGTTGCCCTTTTTTTTTTTTTTTTTTTTACTGACATGAACTTTTAAATGTGGCATTAAAATAGTCAAACTTGGCATGTTAATCTGAATTAAATAAATGGAGGCAATCATTATGAACCTCATGTTCCGTGGAGGCTGCCGTGAAATTACACATCAATTAAGAACAAGGGCAAGGAGGCGGAAAAGTGCAGAAATTGTATTATTGGCATTCTGTGGTCTCATTGTCTTCCACACTAATGAAAATGAAGCACGCCAATGATAGTGAATGATTATGAATGATAAAACATTATATCAGACTGTTCATGCTGTATTATTTTTTTTATTTCTTCTTAATTTTTAATTACATTTCATTTTTGCTGTTGTAATTTTTTACATTATTTTACAAAACTGACTTAAAATGTCACATTTTATGCATTTTGTGCTGTTCATGTATTTTAAATTCTTAATTTTTATTCTTTTTCATTTAGTTTTTTTATTTTAAAATCTAGTTTATTTTTACATTTTAAGTGACAAATGTCACATCTAAAGCATTTTAGGTCAGTTCACACTGTGTTTTTAAATTCTTTATTTTTAAATTCAGTAATTTTAAAATTTTAATTAAAACTGTCACATTTAATATGATTTGGGCTGTTCACAATATCTTTCAAGAACAGACCCGTGTCACGTGTGAACGTAGTCCTACAGACTTTTTCAGGCTCTGAGATCTCAAATCTTTTGTAGAAGACAACTTTTGACCTGCATTTATAGTCAACATAAAATGCCATTCACTACACGTTACTTCCGTAATCAGTTGCATTTCTGAGCGAAACAGGATATTCATTGAGAAAAATGTTGGGTGGGACTTAACTGTATCCTTCAGGATTGGTTAGGCTTGCAAAAAGTGGACATTTCGTATTTATCAGGATAACAAAAGACCAGTAGATCCCTACAACTCTTGACCTGAGATGATAGATACATACAATTACACTTCTTTAAAGTATGTTTGAGTTTCCCCAGTAATCCTCATCCATTGTAAGCCACATCAACATCTCAGATCTGTATTAACTCAGCCAACGCGCCAGTGTCAGCTGAAGTGAAACTGCCCGGGATCGGTGGCTACATGGACAAGAGAGCTCTGCACAATAGGGATGATTGAGCCCAGGAGATGGTCCATTAAAGAACAGCATTTAATGACAACAAGAATTATTGCAGTGCTTTGTAATTACCCAAGCATTGACATAGCACTTGTGTGTGTGTGTGTGAGCAGAAACAGCCACAGCGATTCTCTCACATTGCTAAACTGAAGAGAATCCCTTCATCAAATATGCTTTTTCTTCATTCTCTCACCCTCTTTACTTTCCACGTCTCTCACTCTGAAGGAGGGGTAAGTGGTCATCAGCGCTAACATCTCTGTCTTGTGTCTGGAAGGTGGTTATCGCTGAGACCTCAATGGTCCAAGCTGATTATGGTCCTGCAAATCAACATTTGATTATAACGTCCGTGTGATGGCGTTGTGATAATCGGGCAGGGCACGTCTAATAATCAGAGGCAGTTGGTATTTTGTGAAGTGCATTATGGTCACCAGGACACTTGACACTCTCTCTGGTTTATTTGTTCTGCAGAAGAATATTTGGGCTAAAATCACTCCCTTTCCGTATAAAGTGTGCTATAGCATCTGGGACTGTTTATAGATGTAATACCCTCTCAGAATCACAATATTTCTCTCTTTCTGTCTCTTTGTCAGTCAGAGGAACTTGGCTGAGATCACAGAGCTGATTCACACAGCCTTCCTGGTGCATCGTGGGATTGTTAATCTGAAGGAGTGGACGAACTCGGACGGCCCCCTCAAAGACATGCAGTTTGGGAACAAGATGGCCGTTCTGAGTGGCGATTTCCTGTTGGCGAACGCCTGCACGGGGTTGGCCCAGCTCAATGACACCAAGGTATTAAATGAGTTCTGTAAAAAATCTCCAGGTTTTTCCATTGCCTGCACTCCGCTTGCTCCAGGCTCAGTAATGAAAGAAACCCTGCTCTGAGTTCGCTGTTGTAAAATTTGTGCACAAATAATAATCTGTACACATTTTCCTAGCTATGCACACTACCATTCAAAGGTTTGAGAACAGTAAGATTTTTTTTTAAAGAAATTAATACTTTTATTCAGCAGGATTGCATTATATTGATCCAAAGTGACATTTGAAGACATTTATATTGTTACAAAATATTTCTATTTCAAATAAATCCATTCATGAAAGAATCCCCCAAAAATGTATCATGGTTTCTGAAAAAAATGTTTTTCTACATAGATGATGATAAGAAATGTTTCTTGAGCAAAAAATCATCATATTAGAATGATTTCTGAAAGATTGTGTGGCAGGAAATTTCAGCTGTGCCATCAAAGGAATAAATGGCATGTTAAAATATATTAAAATAGTTATTTTAAATAGAAAACATTTCGTCTAAAAATTGTGATAGTATTTCAGAATATTGCTGTTGTTATTGTATATTTGATCAAATAAATGCAAACATAGTGAGCATAAGTGAGCATGTTTTCTTTCAAAAACATTTTAAAAATCTTAACTGCCCCAGACATTTGAAGATAAGGACATTCAAAAATATTTTTAAAAAATCCTAAAAGGGAAGGGTTGTTGTATTTATTTATTTTTATTTATTTATTTAGAATTTTCATAATTAATAAATACATGAATACAGAATTACTATGAATAATTGATCCAGTTGAGTACATCCCAGTAATCCCCAAATAGAGGTTTTGTCAGATTTGGCTTACTTCTGGTATTTTTGTACTAAAAAATAGCTAAATAAAGAAACGCATCTCTTCATGCTAGAGGTGTGAGCCACTTCCATCACATTTGTGTTTTTTTATGCAAAACACTGAAGAAAATCATTTCACCAGCTTCTGACTTCCTTCTCAAAGACTTTGTTCTCCACGCTGAACGCTGTGTGTGTCCTTTCTTGCTAATTTCCATACACTTGCATTCTCCCTCATTCTCTTGTGCTCTATATGTGTGTGCGCGTGTGTGTGAGCATATGTCTCCTACACCCCTCATTAAGTGTCAGTGTTCTCCTCCAGCTCTAATTAGAGTCGCAGTCAAAGCACCGTCTAACTGCATGCGGCCAGCAGCCCCACTGCCTCACTCCGCTCAGGGTTACAGCATCTCACTAGAGCGTCTTTCTGAATATCTTACAGCGTTATGAATGGCCAGTACAGATAGAAAGTGATGGTAGGATACATCAGGACATTTTAGAGCAGTGTTTCCCAACCTTTTTTCTGTTATGCACCCCTAGAGTCCTATTGATTTTGCTCAAATAACCCTGAAGTGTGTTACTTTTAACTCATAGGTTCTGTTCTAGCTACTTAGGCTGGGCTCAAAATCAAGTAGACCATTATAGGTTACTGAATTGAAACACGCAACATAGGCAGCAACACCATGCATCATACAAATGGCACTCTTTCCAAGACCTACTTAAGTACACCTACACGTACCACTAGTTGGGATTCACTGTTTTAGAGGAAATTGCTTGTCATATCATAATATTAACAGACTAATAAAAAGGGATTTGCACTACAAACCCTAACATTTCATGTCTATGTGTCTGTGTAACACACACAGACACACTCAGATGCATTAAGCAGGAGTATGCTGACAGGATCTGTCACCAAGTGCGGCTCTAGAATGCAGCTCTCCCCGTGGAAGAAAACAAACTCTTTTCCTTCTGTGTAGCCTCAGACACAGGCACGCACACTCAAGCTCACTTTAATGCGTGCATGAGCGGACACGGAAATGACTGCAGGGGATTTAGGCGATCAGCAGATTGTGGCACTAATATAAAGAACAGATTAGGTGTTTTTTTTTTTGTTTTTTTTTGCTCAAGAGGAGCTCAGCATTCAGACAGCCAGACATCTTACAGTCAGGTCTTGCACCTGATTTTGTCTGTGTGTTTAATACAGACTTTCTATAGGTAGATGGTGTGGTGTAATTCAGTGGGTTTAGAAGTATGTATTGGCGTGTTTTATAGCGCCTCCTGCTGGACGGAAGTGGAAAACTCTCTCTCTCACCTGTTTAGTGTTTTTTTGATTCCTCAGGGTCCGCCTCAACTCTAGTTTAACGATTTAAGGAAAGTTTTATTTATTATATTATTATTTTGAAAACTTAACCTTTTTGTCTGTTTCTGTCTACATCTGTGATTTAAATATCACATATTTTTTGATGCAAATTGACATTGTAACGATGGTTTGAACCTTGTAATGTAAACGTTTTTTTTGAGACGGGCGAAGTTTTACAGACAGATGAAGACACATACACTTCGGTTCAAAAGTAATCAGTAATTTTTTTTAAAGAAATTAATATTTTTATTCCGCAAGGATGCATTAAATTGATTAAAAAAATGACGGTAAGGGTATTTATAATGTTTCATTATTTGTTTCAAATGTTTCAAATATTTATATTTCAAATAAATGCTGTTCTTTTGAACTTTCTATTCAACAAAGATGCTGAAAAAAACATCATAGTTTCCATAAATATTAGGCAGCACAGCTGTTTTCAACATTGATATTAATGAGAAATATTTCTTGAGCAGCAAATCAGCATATTAGAATGATTTCTGAAGGATCATGTGACACTGAAAACTGGAGTAATTACTTTTGAAAATTCAGCTTTGCCAACCACAGGAATAAATTACATTTTTAAGCATATTAAAATAGTAAACATGGATTTTAATTGTAATCATATTTCATAATATTACTGTTTTTGCTGTATTTGATCAAATAAAAATCTTACCAACCCCAAACAGTAGTATATATGTACTAATAATACTAATGCTAACTAATAATTATATACTTTTTATTAAAAAGAAATGATACTGCAAAATGTAGTTTCATTGTCGGTTAAAAATATATGTGCTTAATAAATTTTCTCAGTTTAGTTGCCATTAGCAGCTGTGGACAGAAGGTAATTTTAAGCCCTCGTCTTTAGTGAACACACACACATGCTGAAGAGAGTGTGAGTAAAACTCCTTTTTTGTGTGAAACTGAACCTGTTGTGCAGCGAACCATGATTAAAACCACACACACTCTGTTCTGACCCACTGAACTAGTGACTGAGTGACAGAATGTCCAGCCAATCAGAGATCAGACTCTTTAGCTAGAAGTCAAACTTCCACAGAAGAATTTACAATTAGCAAAAGTGATTAAAAATATATTTTAAGTGTTCAGTTTTTTAATAGTCCCTTGATGTAACTGACATTCACCCAGCCAGAACCGTCCGAATGCATCTCCCTCTTAAAGCTGCTGTCTATGTAAATGAGGGCGAGGCCCCATTGCATTAGCGGTTCAGTTAGCATGAGAGCATTAGCGGTGGAAATCAGACGTTCCCTCTCTGCAGCAAAGCGCTTTTTCCCCTTGATTGATCTGTATTATGTATCGCGGCCTTGAGTGGGATCCTGACTTAGTAGACTGTGTGTGTGTGTGTGTGTTTGAGTGAGAGAGAGTGGGATTCTGGCTCAACACTAGTATAAACGGTAAAGGGATCCATGAGCGGCTGTCTCCTCTTTCTTCTCCTCACAGACCTGTCGGCGAAACACGATTCCGGCTGGATTTGGGAATGAGACGAGACGGAGGGAGGGCAGCTTATCTGATACTTTCCAAAAAAAGCCCCCCCACTTCACACACACGCACACACACACATACATATGTAAACTCACACAAAAGACATAAACGTACACAAACACACAGTTCAAACACATGCATTCTCTCTCTCACACACACACACACACATGACACTGAAAACTGGAGTAATTACTTTTGAAAATTCAGCTTTGCCAACCACAGGAATAAATTACATTTTTAAGCATATTAAAATAGTAAACATGGATTTTAATTGTAATCATATTTCATAATATTACTGTTTTTGCTGTATTTGATCAAATAAAAATCTTACCAACCCCAAACAGTAGTATATATGTACTAATAATACTAATGCTAACTAATAATTATATACTTTTTATTAAAAAGAAATGATACTGCAAAATGTAGTTTCATTGTCGGTTAAAAATATATGTGCTTAATAAATTTTCTCAGTTTAGTTGCCATTAGCAGCTGTGGACAGAAGGTAATTTTAAGCCCTCGTCTTTAGTGAACACACACACATGCTGAAGAGAGTGTGAGTAAAACTCCTTTTTTGTGTGAAACTGAACCTGTTGTGCAGCGAACCATGATTAAAACCACACACACTCTGTTCTGACCCACTGAACTAGTGACTGAGTGACAGAATGTCCAGCCAATCAGAGATCAGACTCTTTAGCTAGAAGTCAAACTTCCACAGAAGAATTTACAATTAGCAAAAGTGATTAAAAATATATTTTAAGTGTTCAGTTTTTTAATAGTCCCTTGATGTAACTGACATTCACCCAGCCAGAACCGTCCGAATGCATCTCCCTCTTAAAGCTGCTGTCTATGTAAATGAGGGCGAGGCCCCATTGCATTAGCGGTTCAGTTAGCATGAGAGCATTAGCGGTGGAAATCAGACGTTCCCTCTCTGCAGCAAAGCGCTTTTTCCCCTTGATTGATCTGTATTATGTATCGCGGCCTTGAGTGGGATCCTGACTTAGTAGACTGTGTGTGTGTGTGTGTGTTTGAGTGAGAGAGAGTGGGATTCTGGCTCAACACTAGTATAAACGGTAAAGGGATCCGCGAGCGGCTGTCTCCTCTTTTTTTCTCCTCACAGACCTGTCGGCGAAACACGACTCCAGCTGGATTTGGGAATGAGACGAGATGGAGGGAGGGCAGATTATCTGATACTTTCCAAAAAAAGCCCCCCCTCACTTCTCTCTCTCTCACACACACACACACATACACAAACTCACAAGAAAGACATAGAAGTACACAAACACACAGTTCAAACACACATGCATTCTCTCACACACACTCACACGTGCACGCTTTAATTTCTCCGTGTGGAGTGTGTGAAGCCGCACATCTGGCTGCGCTATAGGGGCTCTCTGTCTTCTCTGGGCTCTGGGTAGAGGAGTCAAGTTCCTCACTGTTTCCTCAAAGATCACAGCTAATATTTTAATAGCTAATATTTTACATTTTAAAAGATTAAAGGCCCGTTCACACCAAGAACGATAACTATAAAGATAACTATAAAGATATAGTGTTATAGTTGTGGTGTGGACTCTGCTATTCTTTAATATTGAGAACGATTTTTAGAACTATATCTTTATCGTTATCTTTATAGTTATCGTCCTTGGTGTGAACGGGCCTTAAGTCTTGCTTTATGTTGGAATTCTATGAGAAAATTTATGTTGAGATCCTTTAGGATTGGTTTTCTTGTTTTCTTTCAGAGCGAGTATAATTCTTCAAAATGACTTGTTTTGTGTTCCACAGAAGTCAGTCAGTCATACGGTACAGGCTTGGAACAACATGAGATTGAATAAAATATAACCTGCTATATTTATGTGTGTATTTTGCATTTACATATTTGTAGTTCAAAAGATCAGTCCAATCAAAACTCAACTATCAGATGATATTCTGTACAGTAGGTGTTAGTATTTTTTTGTGCTGGGAGTAGAGTTCTGTGGTTGTGTGCGTGTTAAAGAGATAAACTGAATCATTAAGCTTGTGCAGATGTCAGAGTCCTCATTAAGATCTGTATCCTCTGGACATGGCACTGTTTTGACCGGCCATCTGTTTAATAACTGAAGTGCTGGTTATTCTATCTGTCCGTCCCTCAGATGCTCTTTTAGACTGAGTGGACTGGAAAAAGTCTTCCCATATTCCCAAACAGCTCATGTCCTAATAAATACTAATTTCAGAACAGATGGGGCTGATCCGTTATCAGCACTCTTATTCGCAGAGGCTTCATTTATGTGGAAAATATTTTGCTAGCCTAAGTGTTATAATGTTGTTATAATGTTATCATGTTTGTTATAGGTGGTGGAGCTGATCTCCAGTGCAATCGGAGATGTGGTGCAAGGAATCTATCACGAGAGCTCCAGTTCTGCAGAGGTATGACGTTCAGCCCACTGCACTTGCCACATATAACCACCAGTGGCATTCTATGAGAAACAAACTATATTGACAATAAAGAAATAACTGAAATTTGCAGGGACATCTGAGCAAACTGTTATTTCTACAGTAATATTGTACCTTCATGTCTTTGAGTGATGATATATAGGCTAAATATATATGCATGTATGTATGTGTGTGTGTGTGTGTGTGTGTGTGTATATACACACACACACACACACACACACA